GCTCCATCTTGTCCTGGTGGGTGTGCTTCTTAGGCACCTGTGCAAGGACCCTCTGCATCCCAGGGTTCTCTGCTGTCTGTGCCCTCCTTTGCTCATGATGCCTTCTGCTCCCTCCAGAGCTGGGCCCCCGTCGGGCTTCCTCAGTTGACTTCCTCAACTGTTTCTGGGGTCTCTCTCTGGTGCAGAAAATTAGGATCTGTTTTGATGTCAGATACCCGTGGGCTTCCGGTCCAGCTCTCTCCTGAGACTAGTTCATCCTTCGACCCTCTGAGCCCATTTACAAGCCAGGAACAAGCTGGGTGTGCAGCTGCCTTGGGGCTCTGAGGACAAGAAGGCCGGAGCTGGCTGGTTTAGTCCCTCCTCCTCAGGGACTAGACCTGTGGGTGGCCTGGCCACGGGGACATTGCCTGGCTCCCTTGGGAGGAGGGGGCTTTGCAGGTCTCAGAGTGCTGTTGTTGCAGTGGGGCTGGTACCTGTCCCTGCCCTTTCAGAGCACTAGTGTGGGCTATATCCTCAGCTGTGAAGGCAGTGGAGCCTTCTGTGGTCAACTCTTTCCCCGTCCGCTCCTTCATGTGCTTCCAGAGGTGTCCTGGGCTCCACGGTGGGGGCACCATGCTGTCCCTTGGGCTTCAGTGCTGGGTGTGTCTGGTACTTCTCAGGGCTCCTGGGATGCAGCCCTGAGTCTGTCAGTCTCCATTCTTGGGATGGAGACTTGGAGGGTTGTCTCTCCTGACAGGGCTAGTCTAGCACTACTCTTGCTCCAGAATCTCAGACTGCCCACAACCAAACTTTGTCCTCAAGATTACAAGGATCTTCCAGGAGACACACTTTCCCTTCCAAGGATCTGCTGCAGGGCTCTCCTCCATGAGTCCATCTTGACTTCTGCAGGCCTTGGTCTCTGCTAACAACAGATTCGATCAGCCCTGCCTACCATGGCAACCGCCTGCAGCTTGCTCTCTGTCCAGGTGCCCGGCGGCTTTATCTCCAAGACCATCTGTTCCGGGAGCGCAATTCCAAAGCCACTTAGAGCCTGGAGTGGGGCAGCACTCTGTCCTCTGTGTGTGTGTGTGTGTGTGTGCGTGAATGTGTGTGTACATGCATACACAGGGGCAGGGTGATCCTGCAGGGGGGAAGGCACTGACAGGGGCTGTGAGGGGCCCCCAGTAGCAGCTCACATTTCCTACGGCCTTTGAGTGGCATCCTGAGAAGTGCTGGTGGTCTGTCTGTGTGGGAGTCTGTCATATGTGTGTCTGCCACTGTTTCTCTGTGCACATATGTCAGTGTCTATGGACTCCTGTGTGGATCTGCGTGTGTGTGTGTGGGTAAATGTCTCCTTGGACTTGTTCACAAGTCCACTGTGTGTATCTGCGTGTGTGTGTGGGTAAATGTCTCCTTGGACTTGTTCACACGTCCATCTGTCCGGCCTGTGTCTCGTCTCTGTCCCTAGGTCCTTTGTTGCCCTTCCTGCTGTGGTTGATCTAGTCTCTGGCCTCCTTCTTGGGTATGCCTCTGTTTCTTTGGTCCTTGTCTCTGTCCACCCTCATTTCTGCTGACCTCTCTGCCTGGCAGTGCAGAGCTGCTCCTGGGGCAGCAGGGGTGGCCGTTGCTGAGTCACCCTCTGAGCACACCCGTCTCTCTTCGGCACTGTCCCTCAGTGTGGCCAGGTCACGGGCTCTCAGCCGCTGGGGCTCTATGCTCCTCACTCCTCACCAGGGCTCCTTATCCTGATTCCTCACCCGAGCTATTCAGCAGAGCCTCACCTGAGCCTTCACCTGAAGGTCTCATTTGAGACCTGTCACCTGAACCTATCACCCTGAGTCCTTCACCAGAGCCCTCCATCCTAAGACCATCACCTTGACCCTTCACTCTTCACCCTTCACCTAAGCCCATCCCCCTTCGCCCAAGCCCTTTCTCACCTGACTCCTCCACCCTCCACCTGAGCCTTTCACTTGAACCCCTCACCCGAGCCCCTGCCCCTAAGCCTCTCACCCTGAGCTCCTCACTGGAGTCCTGTTCTTGAGCCCAGTCCCACTGTCCATTAGCCATGCATTCTCTCCCAGTCACACAGGCTGTCTGCATGCTCTGCCCTCCCTTGAGGCCCCTTCCGGATGGAGTCCCTTCCCCAGGAGGCCGTGGGCAGCTCCCCTTTTCTCATCCACGTGGTGCCTGAGCCTGGTTGAGCTGGTGCCTTGCTCAACGGTGTTCGCATATAGGCCACTCTGCTCTCAATAACACTCCACACCGGTCTCACAAGCAGGGGACAGATGGGAAGGACATCTCTCTCCTGAACTGCTTCAGTCCTTCCTGGGTCTGACTGAGATTGCTCCTAATGCATGAGGAAACCTCCTCTCTGCTGTGGCCTTAGTGGTGACTTTCCCTTTTCCTGTCTGGCAGCTGCCGAATCTACGGTGAGCTGTGCACAGACCCCGGGACTCTGTGTACCCCAGAGACCAGACATTATTCTCAGAGCTCTGGCTTGCCTCTTGCCCTGCCATCCTCAAAGAAAGGAGTGTCTTTCCAATGACTTGCTTATGCTGAGCTGTGGCCCTGGGAGCTCTAGGCCTTAGGGAGACAAGGCTGAGACCCAGGCAGGAAGATTTTGCCTTGGATTGTGTGGGCTGGCTGTGCCAAGGCTTTGGAGCTCTGGGTTGTGGCAGGGCTGCGGAGGAGGGTGAAGAGCATGCAAGGGGCCTCAAGGCTGCACTCTCAACCACCAGTGCGCTAGTGTCTGTCAGCACCCCAAAGCACAGCACTCTCCAGGCTGCAGTGGCCCCAGAGTCCAGAACCGGCTGTAGGCAGGACCCTGTTCTGGAGAACTGCCCTCTTCAGCCTGTGTGATGCTGAGGGCAGGGTGTCTTTGTGAGCAGCAATGTGGCTGTGGAGGATGATGAGCTTCCCTGGGGTCAGCTGAAGCTTCTGTGTGTGGTTGAGGGCAGACAGGGGCAAGAGGATGCCCAGAGCCCAGACCAGGCCTGAGATGACAGCTGCCCTGTCTTAAACAGGGTTGGCCTCTTCCAGGCTGCAGGTTGCAAGTGGGCCACGTGCCCGCGGAGCGCAAGGCAAAGGCTCCCCAGTTCTCCCGGTACGTAGGGTGCCACCTGGGCCTCCAAACCCTTCCTGACATTGGAGAACCTTGAGAGGGAGCACCAGCTTGGTCTTTCCTGATTCTGAACCTGTCCAAGTAGTTTAATTTTGTGCTGGATTTGAGGCCGGTTGGCCCTATGACAGGGAATCAGTACTTGAGCACTCTGGATCCCTGCCTCTGTCCTGCAGGGGTGGTGTCCTAGCAAGGGAGAGCAACCCATGTGCGCCAATTCCAGGCTTGGGGCTTGTGGTACTGCAGAGTCCAGAGGCCCTGAATGTCATTCCCCAGATTCTCATTTGATTTGTGGGGAAATTGAGAGGTTGGTAACCCATTCAAGATCACCTTCTCTAAGCGCTGCGCTATCAGGAAGAGACAACAGGACTTCTTCCACAACAGCCTCTGTGGACACTTTCACCGCTGTTTTCTGCTTCCCAAACTGGGCCACAACTTCTCCCCTCCCCCCGCCACTTCTGGCTCCACGGCCCTCCTCCCCCCATTTCTTCCACTCACAGTCCTCTGACCACCTCTCCCTAACCCTCACTTTCTCCCTCCTTAACTCGCTTCTTCTCCTGACATCTACAACCCTTTGACCCTACATCCCCCACTGCCAACTCTGGCCCTGATCACTTCTTTCCTGCCTCCTCCTCTTGTTAGTTAGTGACTCATAGACTTCACACAGAGCTACCATTCCCACTCAGGCCCTCATACCTACTACAGCGCAGGAGCCCTGGGGTCCCACACACCCTCTCTTGGCCCTACCAGGTCAATAGCCTGGCTCCTTTCCTCAGGACCTCTGTGAACTTGGGCAGGATCCATGCCTCCCCGGACCACTCTTGATCGTCTGCTGCCTGTACAGCCTTCCCTGAAGATGGTAAATTGTTTGCATGGGGTCACAAGGGTGTAAGTGGTAGGCCAGGGCTCAGTGCACATCCACCTCCTCCAGAGCTTTGAACTGGCCATATGTCCCCTGCTATGACCAACAATACCCTGTATGAAAGTAACACCAGAGACAAGGGGGGTGGGGGAGAGAGAGAGAGAGAGAAAGAGAGAAAGAGGGACAGACAGACAGACACAGAGACAGAGATATGTCCCCTGCTATGACCAACAATACTCTGTATGGAAGAAACACTAGAGACAAGGGGGGTGGGGGAGAGAGAGAGAGAGAGAGAGAGAGACAGAGAGAGACAGAGACAGAGACAGAGACAGAGACAGAGAGACAGGAAGACCAACAGAGACAGAGAGAGAGACAGACAGACCAACAGAGACAGAGACAGAAAGCACAGTGGCCCCATCTGGCAGGGACAGGTGCCTCTGGAGTATGAAGGTGCTGGAGAACACCTGGCCTGGCCACTACTCACTTGGAAGGTCCTCAGTGGGCAACACGTTTCCTGGACGAGGGGCACGGCAGGAGGGTCATTCCAGAAAAGGCTTTATAACCCTTTTCCCAGGAACCCCTCTGGAAGGAGCTGCTGGGAGGCACTCCTCCACCGGCACGGTGTCTTGAGGTCTCTGGGGCATGGATGTCGCTTCCTTTGAGGTGTCCTGGTCACCTCCCTACTGATGGCCTCGTAGCTTCTGCCTGGGCTGGGGAGGGGTAGGAGCTGGGGCTCTGAACTAACAGCTCTCTGCTCATGCAGCCTGGTGCTGCAGGACTGACCTGGTCTGCCAGCCCGCCCAGCTCCCTTCCTCCCTCACAGTTGGTCCCCGTACAGGGAGGGGCCTTCTTGGCCTCCCCCTTCCCCTTCTCTGGCAATGCAGGCGGGGCCCATTGTCTAGGCTGAAGCCTATTGTGTGGAGAGCGAAACCTCATTGGCAGGCAGCCAGGCATCACTTTGTGATTATAAACTCTCAATCGTGATTGGCTGTCTGTGGTAGGGACTCCCAGGACCCCCAGACACTGAAGTTTATGCATCAACTTTTTCCAGCATGAAGTGACTTGTGTCCAGGTCCCAGAAAGGAGGTCGCCCGCCTGGCCAGGATGGCCCTCTGCAGGAGCTTCCTGGGTGCGTACCACCCCCAGCCCTCACTCCCCTCCCTGCTACGCAACAGCTTCTTATGAAAATGCCCCTGCCAGCACTCAGAAGGAGGTGACGTGCTCCTCCTGAATGCCAGCCTGCGCCCCTGGGAACGGCCTGCGTTCTCCTCCTCAGATTCCCCCAGCCAGCAAAAGTGCCGGTGGCTCTGAGCCCTGGGAGAGCCGCCCTGCCCATGAGGGCTGGAGGGGGGTTGTGGCAGGGGCTTCCTTGGTTACTGTAGCTGCCCTTCAGGCCTGCAGGTGGGTAGAGCGAGGTAGAGTGCTTCTTTGTGTCGTGGCAGTGTTCACTCGGGACTCTCGGTGGCAGCTGTATCCTCTTCACACTCACAGTTGTAGTTGTGAGTGTGCATCATCTGCCTCTGAGTCTCGTAAGTGGGCTGCCAAATGTTTGTGGGTGTGAGACAGGCCACACAAAGTCAGCCCAGAGTGTGGGTAACGTGGCTCCTGGTTTTGTTTGCTCCATCTGCCAGGGCCTGCCTGGGGCAGCGCCCCCCGCCCTCAGCTGCTCTATACAATATTAATGCTGACCATCTCCGCTCTGCACACAACGCCCTAATTGTCGCCGGCAGCATTAAGGCAGGCGCCCATCTGCGGGGAAGCTTTCAGAAGAAAACAAGAAAACCTCACCCCAGCTGGTCACCGGAGAAGGTGGTGCCAATTACAGATGCAGAAAGTTTAGACCAAAATTACTTGAAAGAGTTTTTATGAAGCAAATGAACTGACACTTGGAATGTCTGCATGCAGATTTGCACACGTAATTACACCTTATTTGAAATGATCTTACCAGCTAAGCAATCATTAAGCCCCCTCTCCAGCCCCCTGGCACAAAGCACTTTTCTTAGTGAGGCGGCTGCAGTCACAAGTTTAATTTTGAGAAATCTCCCTTTTCTTCCCTGTGTGGTATCTGAGGATACCAACAATCTGATAGGAGATGTTTCTTTGTGGATCTTCCCAAAGTTGAATATTAAAAAGGCATATCCTCCCTACAGATTTTTCCTTTTCCTTTTCTTTCCTTCTGTGTGTGTGTGTGTGTGTGTGTGTGTGTGTGTGTGTGAAAGAGAGAGAGAGAGAGGGAGAGAGAGAGAATATGCTGGTCCTAGGGCTTGAACTCGGGGCCTAGGTACTGTCCCTGAGCTTTTTTGCTCAAGGCTGGTGTTCAACTACTTGAGCCATAGCTCCACTTCCAGCTTTTTGGTAGTTAATTAGAGACAAGAGTCTCACAGACTTTCCTGCCTGGGCTGGCTTGGACTCTATCCTCAGATCTCAACCTCCTGAGTAGCTAGGATTACAGGGCCAAGTCATGGGCTTCCCTACATATTTTTTTTTTTTTGGTTGGTTGTGGGGCTTGAACTCTGGGCTGAGGTGTTGTCCCTCAGCCTTTCAGTTCAAGGCCACTTGAGCCAAAGTGACACTTCTGGTTTTCTGGTGGTTTATTGGAAATAAGAGTCTCACGGACTTTCCTGCCCTGCCTGGCTCTGAGCTGCGATCCTCAGATCTCAGCCTCCGGAGTCGCTGGGATGACAGGTGTGAGCCACTGGTGCCCGGCTGACCTACAGATTTTTATGAGATAAAATTTAAACAGTATCCACCATTCTACACTATGGAAAAGAAAATATGATTTTAAAAAATCCTGACGACATTTGAGTCTGTGTAAGAAGAAAAGTTTTAGATTATACCTTGTTGTCACCGGCAGGAGTTGTTTGGGTGAGTTGCTGGGGTTTGGAATTTTCTCTCAACTGAGTGGTGCAGCCACTGGGGCCCTGCTCGCTGCAGAGAACAAAGGCCAGGCACAGCAGGGCGAGCGCTGTCCAACGTGCTGACCAGCCTGCGGCACTCCTCCTCTCTCTCAGGCTTCTTTCCAGGGCCAAATGGTGGTGGCCAGCCTGAGGAACATGCCTGAAAACCCCTCTGCCACCTCCCCCCTTTTTTCCAGCTCCGCCCCCCACTTTGTTCTATGGATGGTGCCAGCTAAAGATCTCGTATCCTTACTCTTCTGAAAACGCTTGTGCAGCCCTAAGCTCTCAGTGGGGCGCTGGCTGTAGGCTCTGCGGTAGGTATGTTCTTATTTGGTTTCTGTGTGTACTCTAAGTGCGGCATAGGTGGGGTCTGGAGCTCATTCCTGACCACTGGAGGAGTTACACTTCCAGAAGCCCAGAGCCACTCAAAGGGTATGTGAAATGCTGGCAGATGGAGGTTTGTGCAAATACAATTTCCATCCCCTCAAAAACAATGCTCCATGAAGTTCTTTTGTTGTGCATATTGCTTTCTCCCTGTTTTGTGTTGTTTCTTAAGTTTGACTATCACATACGTGAGTCAAATGGCTTTTCCAGAGCGGTTGGCACTGCTGGGGCGGAAGGCTGACTCAGCAAGATCTCCCCTTGGGTCCCACCTTCCCCGTGGAGCAATGGCACGCAGGGCTGCCCCGAGCTGCCGTCTGCCGATAAGAGTTCAATAGAATTTTGGAATGCCAGGGGTTTGGATGTCAGATACTCAGCACTTGCAGCATGTCCCGAAGAGATAGGCTTCACTTTGCAGGAGTGGTCTCAGCTTACCGTGTCCTTTTATGCTAACGGATATGCATTCATGAAAACTAGGAAGATGGTAAGCAGTTGCTGCAGAAACTTCAAGCAGTTTTTGCTGGGCTAGTTAATATTTTATCCTCAGTTTGACTAGTGCAGGTTTGCATTTATTTCCTTTTGTTTAATCTTCACGTTTTATATCTTGTTGAGAATGCGTGTTTGAATAAGACTCTAACATACTTGCTTTTGGGATGAAGCTGCCAGATTTATTGGTAATATGTAGAGCATAAACTTTATACTAAAAATTGCTCATAAAAGAGGTTTCAGCTAGCATCAGCCAATGTTTTTCCAACTTGCTTTTGTTGAGGAAGCTCAATGCTCCAGTTCTATTTCATTCACACTTTTGGTGGCCCTATCCCAGAGAGAACTTCCAAGACCGTTTTCTTTATAGGAAAAGCAAACATTGGGGGATGGCTTTTTAACTGACTAGTGTTAATCACGTAGGATGTCAGGTTCCTGCATGATTTATCAGGAAATTATGTTTGTTGTTGGTTGAAATCTGCACTAACTTCTGAACCCTAAGTGCTATGGCATTCTAGCTGGCAGCAATGGTAGCGTCTCCAAGAGAATGAATTCAGTTTGGATCCATGCATTTCCCAGCACAGTTCCCAGTGTTCTGATTCGGGTTTGTCTCTGTGCTCATGAAGGAAGTTCCTGGGTTTGGCTCTGACTGTGTGGCAGAACCATGAATTGGAAGCTGGGGAAGTGGCAGGCAGGTTACGCTCCAGCAGGACCGCTCCAGCGTGTGCCGGAGGCTTCCTTTGAGGTTCACTGGATAGTTCCTGGCAGGCAGTTTAGAAAAAAATCTGGAGAAAGACAGGAAGGAAAAGTTGAGCTTATGTGTTTCTCTTCGCTTGTGGTGAATTCCTTGTTTTAGTTTAGATACCAGTGCCTAGGGATTAAAATTCTTTGGAAGAGTTTTATTATTAAAAAATTAAAACAACAATAACAAAAAGACAGTAGAAAAAAATCTCCTTTCCCATTCTGTTCTTTGTGTGTATACTTTACCATTTTGGTCTTTGGTTTCTGGTACCTTTTATGCACTCAAAAGAAAACAAAACAAAACATATCCTGTTAAATTCTTGGTACTTGACTATGCAGATAAGCGCATCTGTCATAGTTTTGGTTCTTTGGTAATAAATTCTTTATGATGGGAGGTCATATTCCTAACCACCAATAAATATCGTGAAGCACTTTTGTTGGAGCCATGCTAACCCAGGGCATCTGTCATTCCGGTCGCTGCTATTAGGAATTATTGGACTGAACCACTTGCAGAGGAAGCAGGGGGTGGGGGTGAGCGTGATGACTGTGGTACTCCCTGCCCTGTTGTGTATTTTGCATTAAAAAACCCAATCATGCTGCATATTAATTGTGGGTCAGTCTGGGCAGATGTGGGCTCCTTCTGTTGGCGGTGTTGAGGTCAGTGGGTAGGGCTTCACTGGCTCGGGCACCTCTCACCTCCAGTTTGGCAGATCCATCCTTCTGATGCTATACTGTAAATTTATTTCACCTCAGAGAGTAAACAGATATATTGGAGCCCCAAGGGTTCATGGGTAGCGTATTTACAAAGGAGCCTCCTCCGCCAGCCCGTGCCACCGCTGCTAACGAGAGTGGTCATTAAGTAAATGAGACGTCGCCTTTAGCTGGCTTAGGAGTTCGCACACTGAGGGGAGAAGATATTTAATTGAAACCCGGACACAGGCTTCCCTACATGTGACCGCGGTGAGGCAGGCAGCTGCCTTCCCCTCCCCCGTCCTCCCTGCAACCCCCCATGTAAATTTCATGATTGCTTTCCGTGATGTCATTTTGAAAGAGGACAGACAATAGCTGTGGGGAAAGGTAAGTCAATGTTATGTTCTTTCGCTGACAAAGGCAGATGCGAGGTGCTTGGCTTTTCCCCTTGGACAGAGGTGGGGAGGGCCAGAACAGAGAGGATTTCTAAGGCTCTCCTTGTAGGAAAAGCAGGTTTGGGGTGGCTTTAAAAACTGTTCTGAAGGGCAAGGCTTTCTTTTCTTCCTGTTCTGCCTTGGATCTGTGCTTCTTCTCTTTCTCTGCCCCTCCTATGTCTCTGAGATTCTTATAAGCGTGTTGTGCGTCAGACAGAAAAGGCATTAGGGAGGGAGACGCTGTGGATCAAGGCGAGAAACTTTGTGCGGATTTCTGGGAGAGGAATACAGTTGCAGCTGGGTCATAGGACACAGTGTCGGGGTGTCTGGGGAGGATGCTGGCCCCCTAAGCAGAAGATCTCTCTTGGAGCTTGGGTATTTCATGTGGGACCCCTACCCCAGGTACAGAACAGAGATGCTTCTGGAAACATTTTATCTTTGCACGTCATGTGCTTCCAAACTTCAAGAGACACACGCTCAGCGTGAGTGTGTCTGTGGAATCC